ACACGCGCTAAACCCTGTCTGTGGTGCTTACCCCTTTACCCCAAATGATGAGACAAGAGACCAGAAAAAGACAATGGGGAGGTTTCCCACTTAGACCTTGCAGAGAAATAATTGACGTCAATTTGTTCAGGACTTTTTTTCTGTGGGGTTTTCAGACATGTGGTTTATATATTTATGTACATGTTTGCTTGGTACATTTATGAACATTTATTACATATCAAAGACCTTAAAATTCTTATCACACCTAACCCAAGTGCCAGACAGGTAGCCATCAAGATCACAAAGAGCTGCAGCAGCCCAGGAATGGATTCTGACTCTGGAGAACAAAAAGGATAGTGAGCAACTTAACCAGTTGGGTCAGGAAGTGTAAATAGATTTATTGTCTTGTTTTTATCGGGTGTCAGGTGATGGGTAAAAGGCGGGAAGGATAGCTACCTGACACCCAGGCTCTGCCCATTTACCTCCCCTTCTGATGATGTAGAAATGATGTAGTGATGATGAAAGGTGGGAGGGCGTTCCACAGGGAGGGTGCCACTACCGAGAAGGCCCTCTGCCTGGTTCCCTGTAATTCTTTACAAGTCGTTCTTAATCTAATCCTAAGCCTATTTGATACTTCCAAGTGATTTCTAATTATCTTATGTTACAATATTTGGCTAAATATTCTTTGAATTTCTTCCAGTCTTCTTGATATTCCTCTTCCTTCTGGTCACGGATTCTTCCATTCAGGTCAGCCAGCTCCAAAAAGTCCAACATCTTCACCTGCCGTTCTTCTATTGTTGGTCCTGCTATAGCAGTTTTGCTTACAAATAAAGGTCAGGCTTCTTAGCCACTTTGCTTTAAGTTTTGCCTTGGTCTTGCCTGTTTTCTTAAAACCCTCTGACCGCAGGGAATCCTTTCACCTAGCGGGCTCACGGAATCCCCTAAGGACTGGAGAGCAGCCGGTGAGCATTTCTGGTTCTTTTCAACTGAATGGTATAGTTTTTGTAAAAGATGCAGGGATTTATGATATATAAATTGAACCATGGAAAAAGAAGAAGGGAAGTCATTGATATCTTAAGGATGTAAAATGAGTGTTTTAATTGTAAAACAGAAAACTTAAATAGTATCTTGTGCTCAAAGCAGCCACCAAGCACATGAGCACTTTCCCATCTTGTGGGGAAACAAAACATACAGAAGCAAAACATAGCCATTGTGACAAGTTGTCATTGGTAGCCTTCTTCCTGGAACCAGTTCCACAGTTTAACTGTGCTGCTTAATGTGCTTCTTTTATGCGTGTGGTGGCCTGGAATTCGGACTTGGAGGCTGAACCTGAGGAATCCCAGCCTGCACAGGAGTCCCCACCTCCAGAACCAGCTGAGCCGGGGCTGGGGCATGAGCCTGAAAGGTCCTCACCTGTTCTGGATCCTCAGGTGCAGGCACCAGCTGAGTCTGCTCTGGCTCCTGAGGTGATGGAGGACCCATTGCCTGCAGGTGCTCCACTCTCAGCCCCGTCAGGGGAAGCTGAGGTTGCCTCTGGGTCCGGTAACCCTCCAGCCTCTCCTGAGCTGCAAAGGCTCAGGGCAGAGAGGCGGAGGGAACTAAGTTCCTGCAGGAGGAGTGCTCACCTCCAGGCCAGGAGAGGCAAGTCACCTGTGGACCAGGGCCGCCCTATGCCTTGGGGCAGATAAAAGCCAGCCAGCCCCAGTCCCAAGTTGCGGGAGCAACATTGTTGGTATCCAGTTCCTGCCTGCACCCTGTCCTGCCCTTGACCTCAACCGACGCCCTGCCTTGGACCCAGCTTCAGCTTTGACAGACTGCCTCCATACTGCACCCTCGACCACGGACTGGACTTGGACCTTGCCTCTTGATTAACCCCCGGGACCAGCACAATGCGTCTTGAATTCTTCTTCTGTCTGCCTGAAAATTCAAGTGTATTTTCAACTTGTTTCTACTAATAGATGCATTTTATAAACAGTTTAGTGTAGTATAGGCATGATTGCAGACAGCATCCTCTTTACAAAATTTATTTCTGTATTTATTTTTCGACGAATGTTCATATTCTTTACAGCTTCGCTTCAAGAACTGCATTGTTAGATTTGGAAAAGTGCAGATTTCAAAGGAGAGCAGCGTTTTGATTCATGCATTGATTTGGGACATGCAAATTTGGGATCCTCTCATTAAAATGCAAACCAAAATAAATTATCCCCCCGCCCTCGCCACCACGTCTCTACACGACATGGAAAGAAAGACAAGGAAGCCAAAGTAGATATTTTAATGTTTGTGTTCATGTGGATCATGTTTCTAAATGTGTGCTAACAGTAAAGATATTTAAGATGTCTCATGCAGCCACATTTTTAAGATTTGAACTGCAGACTGAAACATTTACTTTGCAAAGCTTTCTAAGTGGTAAATTCTATTCTAGGCAATTTTGGTTGC